AATAAAACATTTTTTTTACACTGAGAGATGCAGCTAGAGACTTATGATTTGAATGGGGGTGGATTTGTTGGGGCCCTGACATATGGGTTGTGGCTGTGTGCTCATTTGTGCTTCCTGAGACTCTGAATTGCTATATCCCATGAGCTAAAGTGGATGTAATTTAAGTTTTGCTGGGAGGGGGGCTTTATGTTCATTTATTGGACTCATTGTTTGAGCAGCTTGTCATTTGTGTTATGGACCAATTGGCCATTGTCTAGGGAATTAATCTGGGTTTGTTCATGGCTGGCTTTGGTGGCAATACCTGCTGTCATGCTCCTGTCAGAATCTGAATCTGAGGGGGAGGCTGAGCAGCTGACAGGGAGTGGGAGTGTGGCTCAGTTGACTGTGGAAGAAACTGGGGAAGGGCAAAGTCCGGCTGGACAGAGCAGGGGAGAGGTAGAGAAAGGGAATTTGGAGGAAGACCCAGGCCCACCCTCTCTTCATCCTAGGGCAAACAGGGAGGAGTGGATAAGGGAGCAACATGAGTTGCATGGCTTACAGGGGAGGTAAGGGCCCTGATTCCCTTCATTACCTGCAGCTGGGAACACAGTGTTTTAAAAGGGAGTTTGTGCACAGCAACTTGTTGGAAGCAAATTGTGAGTTATCTTTTATTGTTGATGCTTATCTGGGTTCCTGGTGTCTTCCCGACTGTGTGTGTTTTGTTGGCCTTTGAAGTCTGCAATTCCTTCTCCTGCCCTGTACAGTTAATTGCTGTAGTGTAGTTTGTGTGGATTTTTATTTACAGTTTATATATACTTCATTTTTGGACTGAATTTCTTCCACTTAACAACTGTTCTTGGGAGAGTTGTTTTTTCCAGCCGAAGGTAACTGGAAATTGGGGGCAAAGTTGGAGGTATTAAAGAGGTATTACTTATGTGACTGTGTTGCCTTTGTGCCACATCCCAAGTCATCACACCTGCTGCTTCCAGCAATGCCTCCCTCTGCCTGCTGTGCTAAATATATCTCCCGGTACAGCCCATCAAGAGGGTTGGGGCCTTTTCCCCAGCAATTATACAGTTATAAAGCCAGCTAAAGAGAATTGCTTGGGGAAGACAAATAAAAAACCCCATAAACCACAATGACATGGGGCAGCACAAGTAACCTATTGGCCCCACCTTCCTTTTACTCTCCAAGCTGTCAGAGTGTTGAGCCATGTTTCAAAGTCATCTTTGTTTTTCAAACAGATGACGAAGCATTGAATGTCCAGCTTGGAATCATGCAAGGTGGAAGGGAAGAGTGGGTTAAGACAAAGAATGAACTAGAGTTATAGGCACACACCTACTGTACCTCCAAAACTAGAGCCATATAATCAAATAAGAGAGCAAAGTGTCACAAAAGTAAATGTATATGGGAAGTAACTTATAAAGCCTACAGACAACTTATTAACAGGACCTTCATGTAGATCTCTCAGTCATGTGGGGGTTTGGGTCTACGACAACTCACCATGGTCAACTCACCATGGCTAACTGGCCAACTTGCTAAGGGACAACACACCACGGGACAAGAGTTACACTAATATCAAAGAAATAGTGGAATAGAATAATTGAAGAAAGGATGCCAAAGGAGGAACAAAAAGAAATGTGAATGACAAAAATTAAAATATATTTTTAACTATTTTAAATATATTAAATTAAAGAAATGACCTGCAACGAATTGTCCCATGGCGAGTTGGCCATGGTGAGTTGCCCTGGCAAGTTGGCCATAGTGAGTTGCTGGTGAGTTGCCGGTGAGTTGGCCATAGCAAGTTGCCTTGGCGCATTGGCCATAATGAGTTGCTTTGGCAAGTTGGCCATGGCGAGTTGCCCAAGTTTGTGTGTTTCCACAGAGCTGTTATACTTAGCTCCATTTTGTGTTGAAAGCTTAAAGAACCAGCTTTCCCAAAGATGCATCATGTTCTTTTTTCACATGTGGACTAGAGATCATGGCATATAGGACACAGAATGCAGAATAACAGATTTGGAAGGGGCCTTGGAGGTCTTCTAGTCCAACTTCCTTCTCAAGCAGGAGACCCTATGCTATTCCAAAGAAATGGCTGTCCAATCTCTTCTTGAAAACTTCCAGTGTTGGAGCACCCACAACTTCCCAAGGCTACTCATCCCCAACTGATTGTTTGTTCTCACACTGTCAGGAAATTTCTCCCTTCATCCTAGCTTGGATCTCTCTTTCATTAAGTTTCCAACTGTTACTTCTTGTCCTGCCCCCTTCTTGTTCTGTCCTGCTTTGGAGAATGGATCAGTCTGGTCCAGAGGTAGTATTCAGCACGTTCTGACCACTTCTGGAGAACTGGTAGTGGAAATAGTTTAGAGAACTGGCAAATCCCACCTCTGACTGGAGATTTTACAGTATCCTTCCCCTGCCAGGCCCACCAAGCCACTCCCACAGAACTGGTAGTAAAAAAATTTGAATCCCACCACTGGTCCGGTCCCTTTCCATCAGGGAGGAGAGAAGATGGCAAGAATATGCTAATAAAAAATAGAGATCACAACTCAGTTGGGAAGAACAGGAAGCTTTACACAATATAACCCAAAGCAACCAATCAAACCACAAGCTGTTCCAATTTCTGTTTTTATCACCTCCCAGCCAAGTGTGCAAAGACAGCCCTGTAGGCAAGGAGTCATCAAAAAGTCATCAGCAGCAAACATGTTGTGCCCAGACACAAGAACATTAATATGTTTATTAATGCATATTACCAGAGAGCCCCAAAATAGAATACACCCTGTCCCTTCACAAATAAGGGTGTCCTGAATTCTTACTCAGATGATTTTATGCTGGCTGCAAACTGTTGACTTGAAACAATAAAACTAATTAACATTGATCCTCATTTCATGGGTATCACTTACGACTGTGTAATACAATCACTCCTATATGAAAACTAACATGATTATTAGTGTTCCCATTTATTGATTCACGATGTTATGCTGACTTCACTCTAAAGTTCCTAAACCATTTCTTCCCTGTAATGATCCCAATTTGTCAGTCCTGGAAGGATGGCAGGATCCTCTCTGCTGATCAGAAAAGAATTTCTGGGTATCAACTGATTTTTGGTTATCTAACTTCAAGCAACCCTTGGTGGTTTGTAGAGATTCTCCATCATCCAGGTCATTGTTATCCCAAAGGTGTTTTTTCAAGAGGCAACTGGACTTTCTTGTTTTTCTTTGAAGACATTTTGCTTCTCATCCAAGAAGCTTCTTCAATTCTGACTGGATGGAGGGGAACGAAAGGATTTATACTCCTTGCAGACAGCTGGTCATTTGCATCCTTTTTGCAGAGTCATTGAGACCACCTGGAGGTACATCATTTTCATTATTCAGATGACCCTGAGAACACAGACAAACCTCCAAGTGGCCTCAGTGACTTTATTCCCATTTTCACTGAGATGCACCATTGTCACCTGCTTGCCAACACCTAAAGTTTACATTCTCTCCAACTTCAGGTCAGATAGAATTTTTTTTTTTAAAGATGAATTAATAATGCAGGATCCGATCTTGGTCACCGGGACCAAAGATTTATTCTTCCAAGTTCTAGATTCTGGAGAGAGAAAGAAATTCCTTGAGGTGAGGATGGGCTCCAGCATGAGCCCAGAAGTTTGAAAGAATAAACCTTTGTTCCTGGTGACCGACTCAGAATGGTTCCTGCAGAATTATCCGGGCACACGTACATGTGCCTTCATTCACGAAATGAATTAATTTCAGTGATAGTGTTGTGGCCTGTTGGCCGCTGGCCACTCCAGCAGCTGAATCAGAGGAGGAGGAGGAGGCAGTGTGGGAGTCAGGGTCAGCATCAAGGCAACCTGAGAACTCCGAGGGCGGGGGAGAGGGAATGGAGCTGGCAGAGAGAGAGGGGAGGCAGAGCCTGGGCCATCCATCAGCCCTTAGATGGATAGTCAACAGTCCCCAGGTCTGGAGGTGGCTGATGAGGAAGAGGAGGAATAACTGGGTCCAGTGCCTGATGCACGGATGCACAGAAGGCAGAGGAAAGGAGAGCAGTGGAAATCTATGGGCCGGTCCTTGGGACAGAAGAGCCACTGCTGCTAGCAAAGCCCCATCCTAACTCTGGGGATAAAAAGCAGGGGGTGGAGATGAATAGATGTGGCAGAACTATTCATCTCCCAGACAGATGGACTTGTTACCCTGCTCTGTGTGTGTGTGTGTGTGTGTGTGTGTGTGTGTGTGTGAGAGAGAGAGAGAGAGAGAGAGAGAGAGAGAGAGAGAGAGAGAGAGAGAGAGAGAGAGAGAGAGAGAGAGAGACTTTTTGCCAGGGCTGCTGGTGCTCCTAATAAAGTAATCATTCATTTAATTACAGAGGGTTTGTCATGTTTGGGAGCCGGGTCAGAACAGATACCAAAACACAAGTCTATTAAATTCCATCTGGCTCATATTTACACTGATGTACTAATTGCATACCACACTTCTAATTTAGAAAGTCAGGGTGACATAATAGCATTCCTACCATTATTTTTTTTACATAATTACAAAATAGGCTGGGTTTAAGAGAATGTGACTCACCCAAAGTCACTCATGGAAACTCTGTGGCTGAAAAAGGATTAGAAACTGGATTCCTCTCCATTGTGGTTCAACCCTGGCTTTCTATGTTGCTGTTACTGGACTGCCAAAGTGCACAGTTTCTCACTCCTTCTGAAACTGGGAAGCCACATGTCACAAGCTGAAACAAGCTCATATTTCATCTCCCAAATGAGTACCACCCATATGTGACACAGAACCTCACCTACCTTTGGTAGAGCCAAAAGTACTACCTTTTCAAGATGCTTGGAGTCCCTGCCCCCCCAAAAATATATTAAGGCTGCCTATTTTAAGATGCTTATTGCTAGGTTATCCCCAAGATCTTTCCACAACAGTGTACCCGAAAACTACTTTTGCAAGTTTGCAAAAGGCAGAGTGGGAAGGTTAGGGGAGCTTGGGGTGAGGAGGACCGAAACCCAAATAACCAAACAGGACTTTTCAGTAAGTCCTTTACTAGCAATTAATATTCTACAATTGTTGGTCTTTCTTCCTCTTCTTCTTCTTAAAAAAAAAAAAAGAAGTCACAGCTTTTGAAGACAAACACAACAGGGCTCTTTTCTTCAGAGGGCTGGGAGGCAAAAAATAATCATCATCCTTTTCCACCCCAGCCACTCAGTTGTGTAACTTCGTAACTTCGGTTCCCGTTCTTCAACACCCAAGGTGTAAAAAAACAAACAAACTCAGAGGAAACGGCAGTTGAGCTGCAGAATTGGCAGAACAAACTTCAGTCCAAATTGGAGTTTCATTCTGAAGGGGGCGAAAATGGGATTTTCTTCAGAGAGACCCAGAAGTTCAGGTTTCATGCCAGTCTTTCTGATGAGGTAAAAATAGGGCATCTGAATGTCAATGGAGTTCTGGTTAGAAAAAGTGACTTTATCTGTCACCGCTGTATTGCAGGCATCTTCCCCAGGATATTTACATATACAGAGCACAACCAACACCAACACCAGGAAGGCAAGTCTACTTTCCGCTGGGAATTGGAAGAAATGGATGGTTTCACCAGCAGCATCTTTCTGCAGGCCAAGAAAAGAAAATAACACAAATGAGTCTGATAAATCCAGAAATGTTAAGATGATTGACTGGGACTTAATGTCTATTTGAATGCATCTTGGAGCCAAGATGCTAAGATTCATATTATTATTTTATCTTTTCCTCAAGCTATGGGTCCATAGCCTTAGTTAAAACATATCAGTGTCCATCACTATATTTTCCTGTTGCTAGTAAGGATCAATAACTGAAAGTCCTACAAAACAGAACAAGAGAAGGGACTTTGGAGGTCTTCTAGTCCAATCCCTTGCTCAAGTAGGAGACGCTATACCATTCCAGACAAATTGTTGCCCAATCTCTTCTTGGAAACGTCTAGTGTTGAAGCACCCCAACTTCTGGAGGCAAGTTGTTCCACTGATTAATTGTTCTCACTGTCAGGGAATTTCTCCTCAGTTTTAGGTTGCTTCTCTCCTTGGTTACTTTCCAACCATTGCTTCTTGTCTTGCCTTTTGGAAATTAGTTTGATCTCCTCGTCTTTGTAGGAGCCCTTCCAAGATTGGAAGACTGCTACCATGTCACTCCTAGTCCTTCTTTTCATTAGGCTAGGCATACCCAATTCCTGTAACTGTTCTTGGTATGTTTTCACCTCTATGGATCTATTGAGTCCACATTTTTATTAATCTCTATTTTCTTATCTCTTGTTTCTTCCTTAAGCTAAGGCCCATAGCCTTAGTTTCAAAGAAAGTAACAGCTTAGCCATGTACCTTTATGGGTAAAGGTGAAAAACAATAATTGCTAAGAAATGGCACCTTAGGACATGGTACCTGCCCTGCACAACAGCAACTGTCCAAAGATCTCATCATTCCCAATGATTGGAAATCTGACTGGTCCCCCAAATGTTAAACTCCCATAGAATATTATCTATTAGCTGGAATGGTTGCCTGATCATATATTATTCTTTTTCTTTCTTTTTTTTTTTGCTACCCACTATTTCACCTTTAAAGCCCTTCATGACTTGGGACCAGGTTATCTGAGGGACCATCTCTTGCCAATCACATCCACCTGGCCCACTACGGCAGGGAGGCAGGGAACGCTGCGAGTCCCATCCCCTAGGGAGATACACCTGGTGGGTCCCAGGAGAAGGGCCTCCCTCGCTCTGGAACACCATTCCCCCAGAGATTTGAACAGCCTCCACTCTAATTTTTGATCGCCACAATGTAAAAAAGATGTTGAGACTCTAGAAAGAATGCAGAGAATAGCAACCAAGAGGATTAGGGGACTGGAGGCTAAAACATATGAAGAACGGTTGCAGGAACTGGGTATGTCTAGTCTGAGGAAAAGAAGGACATGATAATAGTGTTTCAAAATCTTAGGGGTTGCCACAAAGAAGAGGGAGTCAAGCTATTCTCCAAAGCACCTCAGGATAGGACAAGAAGCACTGGGTGGAAACTAATCAAGGAGAGAAGCAACTTAGAACTAAGGAGAAACTTCCTGACAGTTAGAACAATTAACCAGTGGAACAACTTGCCTCCAGAAGTTGTAAATGCTGCAAACACTGGAAGTTTTTAAAAAGATGTTGGATAACCATTTGTCTGAAGTGGTGTAGTGTTTCCTACTTAGGCAGGGGGTTGGACTAGAAGACCTCCAAGGTCCCTTCCAACTCTGTTGTTCTGTATTCTATAATATTCTTCTGAAAGGCACTGAAGACGTGGTTCTGCCAGCAGGCCTGGGGAACCCAGAGTGGGATGGAGCCCATTAAATGCCTGTTATGAATGTGTGTTGTCACCAGGGTGGGATAGGGTTTTATTTCATTATGTTTCTTTTTATTTCTTTTATATAGTGTTTTTATATCCTTGTAAGCCGCCTTGAGTTTCCATGTGCGAGTAGGTGGCGATACAAATTTTCTAAATAAATAAATAATGTCCTAGGCCACACAGAATCTGGTGGAACCAAGAGCCCTTCTGAATTAATGGATTGCAGGTCTTAATTCCAAACCTCACTTACTTATTTGGGGCTCTTTCCTTTGCATAGGAAGAAAGCAACTAGGAATCCCAGAAAGATCACAGATCCGATGATCATTAGTGCCAGCTGAAGGAAGTTCAGCAGTTTGATCTTGTTGGTCACTTTGGATCGGAAAACGTCTGCTTTCTCATCACCGATAATAGCGGTCTGGAAATAGAGAGAGAGAGAGAGAAAAAAAGAGACAGACAGACAGAGAGAGAGAGAGAGACAGAAAGAAAGCATTTTTCAGCATCCTTCCAGCAGAAGAATGCAATCTGAATATGCAGCAGCAAACATTATCTTCCTTTAATGACCCCATAATCCCTTTTGGGGGTGGAGTCTGGGCAATTGAATGCTGAGTGTTTACTGACTGGATGCCCTTCCTGTTGCCAATGAGGAGTTTTGTTCAGCAGATATGTTCTCATTGTCCTCAGAGAGAGAAATATTTGCCTCTACTTAGGATTGAACTCACAGTCTCCTGATTGTGAGGCGAGAGCTTCACCTCTAGGCCACCCTCCCACTCATGCAGCAGCAGAATGCTCTTCCCAAATAAGTGCTATTTTGCAATTTGCACAATTTTGCATAAAATAGAGTATCCAGCTTGCAGTAGGGAAGAAGATGACAATTGCAAGTAGCAAACAGATTCTCTGCGATCAGATGGTAAATCAGCAGAAAGAGGAAGGAACCGAGCGTGGAACTGAACATAGCAAGGAACTGAAGTCTGAAGAATACTTACATCTAGTTTAATAGCCCCAAAGGTGTTTTTTTTCCCCAAAGGGCAACTGGACTTTGTTTTTCCTGAAAGATGTTTCACTTCTCATCCAAGAAGCTTCTTGAGTTCTGACTCATTTCTGACTCTGACTTCAGTCAGAACTGAAGAAGCCTCTTGTGTGAGAAGCAAGACATCCTTCAGGAAAAGCGAAGTCCAATTGCCTTTTGGAAAAAAAACACCTTTGGAGCTATTAAACCAGATGTAATGGAGCTATTAAACCAGATGTAAGTCCAGCTTCCTTTTGATAAAGCATCTTCAGGACAATTCTGATCTGGATGGCTGAGAATCTCCACAGACATGTGATTTCATACCAAAAAAATGCAAGGGTTATGAATGCTATTAGTCCCCGCGTGTTTAATAATGTCCCTCTTCTGTTGTGCCAAAAATGGATGGCTGCAGGGGAGGTGGGCAGCTACGGGGATACACTTCTACAGCCCTGGGTTTTTGACAAATTTGCCCCTTCCCCAGTTAGCAATGAGAGGAAAACCCCTAACCAGAATGGCCAAGTACTGAATTTTCATTCCTGCAGTCAAAACACTGTAGCACAGGGGTGTCCAACCTTGGCAACTTTAAGACTTGTGGACTTCAACTCCCAGAATTCCTCAGCCAGCAAAGCTGGCTGAGGAATTCTGGGAGTTGAAATCCACAAGTCTTAAAGTTGCCAAGGTTGGACACCCCTGCTGTAGCACAAAGGCAAGAAGGTAGCAAAGCAACATCTGATTGATGGCCAAGATGACTTCGTGTCATCCAAAAGGAAACCACCCAGAATTTTCTTGCTTCCTTCTGCATGATGGGATTGAGAAGTTTACATGCGGGAGGGGAGCAGCAAAGACTGGAAAAGGAGAGAACGAGTGATCCTGGAAGTTGATTTCTACTGGTTTCATTTCATAGGAAGGCAGAACCAGTTAAGGACAGGATCCCTGGATCTTCTCCCAGATGGGAGAACTGACACAAAAACTCCATGATTAGTAGATGATCATGTAGAAGCAGATTTTTCTGGGGATTTCCCCCCCCCCCCCCCCTTTTTTTTAGTTGGTTCAATCAACAGTGATCCCAGACTGGTCAAGCTAAAAGGAAGGATGGCAACAATTGAAAAAGAAAACTTACTCACCTCGTTCAGCCACAAAATAGGAAAGATGAAGTGATGCTTAATTTTTCTTAGTGCTCTGCGGGAAAGAAAAATGAGAGAGAGAAAAAGCAGCAACATTAGAACAACTGAGTTTGAACCAGCTGTCTTCTGAGAATACAAGAAATGGCCTCCACGTTATTATTATTTTTTTTAAATTATTGAATAAACATTAAAAACAATTGAACACGGTGCGACTTTCTTGGCCATTATTTTGGCCATACAAACTATAGTATAGAGATACACATAACAGTTAATTTCCTTTTCCCCTTATGTTATTAGTTGTCATGCCCCTGTTGGAGTCTGATTCTGAGGGGGAGGTTGAGCAGCTGACAGGGAGTGGGAGTGTGGCTCCGGTGGCTGTGGAGGAAACTGGGGAAGGGCACAGTCTGGCTGGGCATTCAGAGGAAGACCCAGGCCCACCCCCTCTTCATCCTAGGGCATGCAGGGTGGAACAGAGAAGGGAGCAACATGAGTTACGTGGGTTACGGGGGAGAAAAGGGCCCTGATTCCCTTCATTAGCTGCAGCTGGGAAAACAGGATTTAAAAAGGGCGTTTACACACAAAATCTTGCTGGAAATAAAGCGTGAATTATCTTTGTTTGTCAAGTCTTATCTGAGTTCTGGCATCCTCTCAACTGTGTGTTTTTCGTTATCTTTTGAAGTCTGCAATTCCTTATCCTGCCCTGGTTTGTGTTGGTTTTTATTTATAATTTATATGTAGTTTTGGTTCAGACTGAATTTCTTCCCTTTAAAGACTGTTCTTGGGAGAGTTTTTTTCTCCAGCCGATGATAACTGGACATTGGAGGCCAAGTTGGAGGAATTAAAGGGACTTGACCTACTTTTGTGACTTTGTTGCTTTTGTGCCACGCCCCGGGGTCATCACATTAGTAAAGTGCTAACTGCATATTTTTTCCAATTAAATTTATCTACATTTATCTACCATTATATACATATTTACAACCATCGTTTATACTCATGCATTTGTATCATTTCATATTTGTCCATTATATTCCATTCTCTTTGGTTTACAAAACTTTAGCATTCATTCCTCTAAAGCATCAACCCTTTCATTCTTTTTCCTTGACTCTAGCCATTGACACATTTTACTCCAGACCTCATAATCCTCTCTCTCACCCTTATCTTTGATTTCTAAAGTTAGTCTGTCCATCTTTCTTTCTTTTTTTCTTTTTGCCTCCATGTTATTTTGAGTTCTATGATATTTTTCTTGGAGCCTGATTGAAATTGCCCTGTGGAGAAAATGCCTCTTCTACTTTGGTGCTTCCTCCAACCAGCTGGAAATGGCTACATTCATTTAGATCAGGGATGTACAAACTCAAGGCCCGTGAGGTGCTTAGATCTGGCCCGTGAAACCGCCCTGGTAACAGCAAAGGAGTGGACCACAGTGCCTCTGTCAGTGAAAATGGAGCTCAGGAGAGCCATGTATGAGCCTCCTGGGCTCTGTTTTTGGCTGCAATAGCTTCCTGTAACCCTCTGCCAGTGAAAAGGGAGCTTGGCATGGCCGTGTGAGTTCCGTTTTCACTGGCAGAGGGCTGTAGGAGGCCGTTGCAGCCAAAAGCAGAGCCTGGTTAAGCCAGGCACTGCCTCCCCGAGCTCCGTTTTTGCTGGCAGGAGGCTGAAGGAGGTCATCACAGCCAAAAACAGAGCCTTGATGAGTTTAGTTTATTTATTGTCATTGCACCTTGTACAATGAAATTAAGTACCATCTTCAGTGTACAATTTATGACTATGAAAATAGACACAAACACACATCCCTCACACTGCACACATTGAATTGAAAACCCCTGCTATTGCATTAATATTGCACTATACAGTAGAATTCAACAGAGCTACTGCCCTGGGATAGAAGCTGTTTTTCAGCGTGTTTGTCCTTGTTTTTATTATTGTCCTGTACCATCTGCCAGATGGTAATAGTTTAAAAAAAAAAGGGTTCCCAGGATGAGATGGATCTTTGAGAATGTTTTGAACTTTCTTAAGGCAGCAGGAGCTATAAAGCTCTTCCAAAGAGGGGAGATGGCAACCCATGATCCTCTGGGCAATGACGTTAACCCTCTGGAGCGCTGTCCTATCTGCCCCGGTGCAATTGGCAAACCATACACAGGTGTGCAGTAAGTTAAGATACTCTCTATGGTGCAGCGGTAGAAGGTCAGCAGCAGTTTTTCATTCAGTTGTTGTTTTCTGAGAAGTCTCAGGTAGTATAATCTCTGCTGGGCCCTCTTGACCAGGACTGCAATGTGAGCACCTCAGGTCAGGTCCTCTTTTAGGGTAACACCCAGAAATTTAAAACTGTTGAGAGATGTTGAGCTGGCCATACTCACCCTAGCCATGCTCCCTGCCCCCACTCCCCGAGGTCAAACACAACCTGATGCGGCCCTCAGTGAAATCAAGTTTGACACCCCTGATCGTTACCTTTGAGCAAAAGACTAATGGTGTTTTCAAAACAAGCAAAAAATAGCAAGGAAAGCTCTATTTTTGATGGCCAAGCACACATATTTTTTGGGAGAGTGGACAAAGCAGATAAGGCCTTAGCTATAATGTGGATGGAAAGGTCTCAGACCACTGAGGTTGGTGGATATCTTGTTTTTTTTCCCTTGTTTTTTCCACTCAACCGTTGTCCATCTGTCCAATCAGAATTTGTTTAGAAGAAGCTTCCAGGATATTTGAATTCCATAGTTAACCTCTATAGTCTGCACATCTAAAGGGGAGGAGCTTCAGGGAGGATGTCACACCTGCCAATTTGCAGATTTTGACCTCTCCTGAGATGCTGTTGCTCATAAACCAGTTCTCCCAATAAGCAAACATGCAGAAAATCCACCTTTGTCCCATAGAAAAGAACAACAGCCAAGACTTACGTGATTTTTGGGTTTGGTTTCACCAATAGATTAATCTGCAGCCTTTTGGCAAAGTGCAAGGTAAATCCTGTGATCTAAAAAACAAAACAAAAAAACAAATAGTGAATTTTGTGGGTGGGACTGTTCAAATATTAGCAGCGTTAATTAGACAAAAAATGCATTCAAACTAATGCATTCAGATGCTGAGTTTGGAAAGATTTTACAAGCATTGGACTGTCAGTAGCCAGGAAGCCATAGCTACCTTACTTGTTTCAATGATTTCAATTGCAATTAACTGAAACTGAATATTCATCAATTTTGCGATTGAGGTTTGCTTTTAAGATCAGTGTGACACTTTTTAATGTGCTTAGAATAAGTAGCAAAATAACAACCCCCAAACCTTCTTGAAGTAGAGGCTGATGAGCTCTTGAAAAAACTACTGTCAGGTGTTTCATTGCCCTAATTAAATCATGAGTCTCAGGCCAAGCTTCAAAAAAAATTCAAAAGATTTATTAGGAGCAACATGCTGGCATTAACCTAAATGAATCCAACTCTGACATACGTAATTTACAGTCACCTGTTTTCCTCCTCCCCCTGGGTGTATCATAAATCAGATACTACAATGAAGTCCGTTCACGGGCTGGTTGTCATCAATCATGTTCTCCAATGGAGGATTTTCATGGACAGAAGATCCGGTAGCCTAGCTACAAGCTTTTTAAGCTAAGGGTGGAATGTACTTCTGGTTTTAAACTGCTGTACTGCTCCTTCAGATTTTTCTCCCCTCTTGTTTATGGCAACTTGAAAACAGGAATAGGAATGTTTTATAAGTTGACATCTACATCCCATTTGTGGACCGAATGAACTAGAGAAAACTTTCCACTTCAGTGAACAAACCCCAAAATTAACTCCAGGGGTCAAATTCTGTGACAGAGAAGGAATTCACTTACTGGTTCTACATCCAGAAAGGTTTTGTGTTCTTCGTTATCTGGCTTCAATCCCTTAACAAACTGAAAAAATTCCTTACTCGCATGCAGGAAATGGGGCAACGAGATGTAGACTGGTCTACCTATGGAAAGAAAAGGGAAATGAAGACAATGTACAAGCTGTATCATCAAGTTCCATTCTACTAGTGAAACTGAACAAAAGAATGGAGATGCTTCTATCTTTCAGAGAGCTGCAAACCACTTGGGGAACTTATTCACCAAGTACAACTCCTGGGAAGCTTGGCCAATTGGACACGATTGAAACCCAACACTTCAAATGAATTTGGAATAATGAAATGTACAGAATTGAGTAAATTGATATTAGCAATTAGAGAGCAAGAAGATAAAGAATATTAGAAAATTTGGGATGTATTTTATTAATGGCTAGATAAGAAAATAGGGAAATAAAATATACTATAATATAAATGCAACGTAATAGTAAAGATAAGATAATGTAATGATATGTTATAACTGATTACAATGAAATGAATGATATTATGAACTAGGTTTTGTAAAAGTTGAGATTTTCCTGAAAAGGATGACATGAATGTATAATTAAAGTCTAATAAAGAGTTAATAATAATATAATAAGCATAGTTGATCTATATAATATGAATTTTGATTTAAATTTAGAAGGGAAAGACTGTTGATATTGTGCACAAAAGATATGTACCAACCGACACACTGTACAATGGAAAAATGGTTTTATTTGATGTTTTACGGTTGTATTTGTCAAATGTTTGTTGTCAAAATAAATAAAAAAAATTATCAAAAATTTTGGGGGGGAAACTGTCCAAATTAATCCTTTCCTAATTGCTTCTGTGGATTCCTTGTAGGTCCATTATGTGACATGATCGACCCAATTCAATTCAGGAAAATTATGATGCGACTTTAGAACGGGGATGCCCAATGTTCCCATAAATTAAAAACCTAGAATTAGCAGGATTAATGAGTATCAATGAAAGCAAATTGGTTCTCATCTTAAATATTCTATAGTAATTTAAGCTAAGGGGTTGAAAGTTTCATTTGAGAGCCCCTACCTTCATCCAAGTTTAGGTGCTAATCTAGTCTAATTCTTCCATGCAGATTCTCAGACATCCAAGTCATGGTTATGCCAAAGGTGCTTTTTCAAGAGGCAACTGGACTTTCATGGTTTTTCCTTGCAAATATTTTTGCTTCTCATTCAAGAAGCATCTTCAGTTCTGACTGTCTGGACTGTCAGAACTGAAGATGCGTCTTGGATGAGAAGCGAAATGTCTTCAAGAAACAACAAAGAGGAAGAAGGTGGAGCTTCCTCACTGATGGACCGTAGATCGCAACTCTCTGCAGCTATGGTCTGTGCTCTTTCGTTGGAGAGCCCCGATCATTATGATTAGGGGCTGAAGCTGCCTTAGAGGGGCGGTGGAGTAAGGGGAAGCCGCAAGCCAGGTTGATGGGAGCCATATTTCCCCCCTCCCCGGGCTTGGTCTTTTCCCCCCGAAGACAACTGCAGCGGTGGTTTAAAATGGCCGCCCCCAAGAGGAGGACTCAGCTGGATTAAGATTTGTGCAGGAGGGAAGAAAGAGGTGGATAACATCTGAACTGGGACAACTGGGCAATACAACTAAACAAAAGTACCCCGGGATTAAGGTAACATGGAATTTTTAAGAAAAGAAAAGTTAAAGAAATTAAAAAGGGACAGGAAAAAAAAAATTTTTTTGACAGCTAAGCGGGGCTTTGAACCGGAAAAGGAAGAAACTGGAACTAAAGATTTAACTAAATTGGACTAAACTATTTTGGGAATAAACAGGCATAAAATAAAACTGGACTTAAGATTGTCAAAAAATAATGATAATAAAGTTTACAAATTGGAGACTGGACTGTGCCGGAATATTGAGGTTCGAAACCCTAAATAAAAAAATTGGGGGAAAGGTGAAGACTTTGTATAATGGAGAGTGCCATCTTTTGACAAAAACTCGAGCTCAAACAAAAGGGAAAGCATCCTGTTGCTGAATGAACTTGTGTGGATATAACATTAAAGAAATATTGAAACAAAGTAAGAATCTTAGAAAGTGAAAGCAGAACCAGAATAAAGAAAAAAGCAAGGAAAGACTGACTGTGGGATTGATTGATGTTTTTGGATAGACCCTGGACTGGAATAATTGAGAACTTTAGAAAATTGAAAGAAGAAAGAAGGAAAGTTAAAGTGGTTTTTTTTTTTTTTTTTTTTTTTTTTGGTGGACTTTAACGATCATAAAATATAAGAGTGTGTAATGATGATATCTCTTCGGGAATTAAAAATGGAACTTAAAAATATGAGAGAATTACTACAGGAAAGAGGTGAATCACTTTGCTCTGTGTTAGAAAAAATGGAAATGGCGATTGAAGAACAAGAAGAAAGAGCTTCAGAGGAGGAGTCGATTCAAGGAGAAGACATTTTAAACAGACAATTAACACAAAGAACACTACAAAGAAGTGGGAAAAGAAGGAAGGTTAAAAAGTTGAGATTTGAGAAGGCAATCAAAAGGGGAAATACCTGTGAAGTCGGGAAAGGCAGAAAGATCCAGCAGAAAAGGGGAAAGGAAGATATTAAGAAAGAGAGGGATATAAACTGGAATGAGAAAAGATATGGGGAAAAGAGGGGGAGGAGAAGCAGAAAGAAACAGGTGCATGAAATAAAGAAATACGGAAATAGTAAAATGTTGAAAAGAAATTGTTTTTTTAGAGATAATGGTTGATGAATTAAAAAGGGGATTCTGCAGGGTGACAAGGGGTAATAAGAATATTTCTGCAATTAAAAATATTTAGAAAATAGGGTAATGTAGATATTGATAACTCTTATTAAAAATCAAGGGGGGGGGAATATGCTGCGGAATCCAAATGAAAAGATGTAATGATTATTATTGTAACTTCTTAAAAATAATGGTTTATTGGGAATCAACATGAGGGAATAAAGGTATATTTTAATTATTGAGGTGTCACACTCAAAGCAGTAAAAGGGGGGAAACCTATACTTGTTTTTTTTTTAGTGTTAAAATTTGTATTAATCTAGAATTTATAAAAAGAATGTGTAATGGAAAGGGAATATGACAGACTAAAGAACCAACTAAATTAATAAGTTAATATAGACTATTAAAAGCAAGGAGAGACATTGGTAACCTTTATTATTATTATCATTATTATTATTAGGCAAACACATATTGTTTATCTTTATTTTTAAAATAAATATTAAAGGATTATATTTTAAATAATTGAAATGAAACAAAAAGATGTTTCAATTGAAATTAATGAAAGAGGCTAGAATTAATGTGTTTGTTTCTCTCCTTACTGAAAATTTGGAATGGAAAAGGTAATAATAGAATTAAGTATGCATATATGAATGTATAATTGCTGTCATATTTGCATATAAAGGTGATGACCCGGAAATATGTTGTCCACTAAAAAGAGATTTTTGTTTTTAATGTGAAAAACCGAATAAAATTTGTTTAAAAAAAAAAAGAAACAATAAAGGAAGTCCAGTTGCCTCTTGATAAAGCAACTTTGGGATAATCTAACTCAAGGGTGTCAAATTCAATTTAATTGAAGGCTGCATCGGGTCTGTGGTTGACCTCAGGGGAGAGCAGGTGGGTGTAGATGACTAGGTGGGTGTGGCCAACTTGGTGGGTGTGGCCAGATTGATGGCACTCACTGGGCATGGCCAGCTGGGTGGGTGTGGCCAGCTTGATGCCACTTCCCAAACTTCTGGCATGTTTCCCGTTCACATTGGGTAGACTGGGCTGAAACGATACGGGTAGGCTGAGCCAAAGCAATGCAGGATGGCCCCTTACATTTTCCAGGATGGCCCCATAGACCGGATCCAACCACACCGTATCCAGCCCATTGGCCTTGTGTTTGACACCCCTGGTCTAACTCCTCATTGGCAGAATCCAGGACCAAGGCCATGGTCATCAACATCAAGATGACAGACACAATTTTGTGACTGTGTCTCCATCTGTTTATGTGTACCTCATCTACTGCATGCTTAAACGAACACACATAGATGGAACTTTGATTATTTTGATGGAATGGCAATCTTGACTTGTTTGTCCATCCCCTGCAGGCGACTATCCTTCTTTTAGAAGGGAGATGCTATCAAAGTGTGCAGCTAAAGGATTCTCCCTTTAATTTGGCCTTTTCAAACTATTCATAAGTGGTTGCTTATTGCTGGGGTGTCAAACTTGATTTCATTGAAGGCTGCATCAGGGTTGTGTTTGACCTCAAGGGGTTGGGGGGGGGGGAGCATGGCCAGCTCAATGTCATTCATCGAGGTTCCATTTTTGGCCATTATGGCCTCCTGCACCCAGCGGTGGTCTTCAGCAGGTTCTGACCAGTTCTGGAGAACCGGTAGCAGAAATTTTGAGTAGTTTGGAGAACTCGTAGATGCCACTTCTGACTGGCCCCACCCCCATCTATTCTCTGCCTCCTGAGTCCCAGCTGATTGGCTGGGTCTTCTTTGGTTGCCCTGCACAGGAGAACGGAGCTGGAAAGCAGGTTAGTGGGGTGGGGAGGGAATGGGGATTTTGCAGTATTCTTCCCCTGCCACGCCCACCAAGCCACACCCACCAAGCCATACCACGTCCACCAAGCCATGCCCACAGAACCAGAGTAAAAAAAATTGAACCCCGCCACTGCCTACACCCCTTTGTGAGTGAAAATAGAGTCCGGGGGGGGGGGGTTGCACATAGCCCTCCCGAGCTCCATTTTCACTGGCAGAAGGCTGCAGGAGGCTGTTGCAGCTGAAAAAGGAGCCCGAGAGACCCATGTGTGACCTTTCCAAGCTCTGTTTTTGCTGGCAGAAGCACTGCAGGCCGGTCCTTCACTGTTTCCAGAGTGGTCCTGCAGGCCAGATCTAAACTCCCTGCAGGATGGATCCAGCCCACGGGCCTCTCTGAGGTTTAAACCTGTTGCCATTTTTATTCAGCCTCTCCCTCTGGATTGTCATGAAAAACACAAGCTTTGACGCCAAGACAGACAGGGTGAGGAACGTCTACCGAGGCATAACATTCTAGACATCTCTATTATTTAAAAAAGGTTTTTAACTAAGTGTATTTTCACTCCGTTACCTGCTTTGCAGGAGCTGATATCCAACATTCCACCTAATGTACAGTTCCTGCTTATGCTGATATCGGTGCAGAAGCAAATGTTGTCAGGATTAGTAACGGGCGATGCAAAAGCCGCTGGAGGGATGATGAAGCGATAAAGGGGAATGTCTTTCACTATCTGCTCGCTTTCAAATTTTGCGAAGATTGACCTGTTTTGTAAAAATAAGATAAAAGCAGCACGATGAAGGATGATTTTTTTTTTAAAAAAAAGAGATCCATCCATCTTGTCTATGGAGAATTCTCATGCGTCCAGGTCACGGTTCTCCCAAAGTGCTTTTTTCCAAAGGAAACTGGACTTTGTTTTTTGAAGATGTTTCACTTCTCATCCTAGAAGCTTCTTCGGTTCTTTAGTCAGAACGGAAGAAGCTTCCTGGACGAGAATCAAAACATCTTCAAAAAACAAAGTCCAGTTGCCTTTGGAAAAAGGACTTTGGGATGTCCACCAATCTTGTAGTCATCAATCATCATTTCTCAGAGAATCAGTTGATCATCTAACATCTTGGATCTCATTCCTTGATCAAAATGAGAGGATCTTCAATCAAGATTACTCTCCATCATGGCAATGGGATAAGTAGCATCACTGGCCTCTCACCACAATGGAAACAGAGTCCATCATTATTTTTGGGGAGGGCAGAAGTTCTAAAAAGCCATATGAAAGCAAAGCAATTCAATGCATCTTCCCAGATGGCTTTGAAATGTAGAGTTTTGCAAAGAGCCACAATTACTTTCCAAAATAATGGGGGTGGGAATGAAATGGTTAAGGTCTCTGCCTGTTAACAGCTTGGAAGAAAGTGGATTTTGAGGTACAATTTAAATAGAGAAGCTAAGGGGTCCTTTGGTGTTCTCTGAGCTTGCTTGTTTTTTTGCAGGCGTTTCATGACCTAGCTAGGTAACATCATCAGTGCTGGTAAGGAGTGGAGTTCACTCTCAATTTATATTCCAGTGGCTTGTCCCGTCTCTGTGGGTGGGAGCGGTCCTACAGAATTTTTGATTGGCTTGTTTAGTGATGGCTCTTAGCAGTGGTGAATTGCTTCCGGTTCGGCTCGGTTCAACCGAACTGGTAGTAAATAAAAAAAAAGCTCCGATGACCAGCTGAGAGGAGAAAGAAGAGAAAAGTGCAGGATCGGCCCTCCTACCCATCCCTGAGCTTTTCTGTTCTTTATCTTCTCAGCTGATGGGCGTGGCAGAGCCTCAGCTGGTGTTTGGAAAGCTGCATGAGCGCACGGGAAGTGCGTGATCACCGAACCAATAGGAAAACTGGTAGAATCCCACGACTGGCTCTTTGATATAAGAATAAACCCTGAGCTGTGGTGGCGCAGTGGTCAGAGCGCAGTACTGTAGGCTACTTCTGCTGACTGCCGGCTGCCAGAAGTTTGGCAGTTCTAATCTCACCAGGCTCAAGGTTGACTCAGCCTTTCATTCTTCCAAAGTGGGTAAAATGAGGACTCAGATTGTTGGTGGCAAGAGGCTGACTCTGTAAACTGCTTAGAGAGAGCTGTAAAGCACTGTGAAGTGGTATATAAGTCTAAGGGCTATTGCTATATGCAACAAAATTTCATTTTAATGTATGCCAATTAGTGCACATTCAAAGTGACAATAAAGTTATCATTCTATTCTGTTCTTCTATTCTATAAAAATAGAGAATCTGCTTAGAGTGAAATTCAGTAACCCAGCCCAGAAGTCCCTTTGGTTGAATGTTGCTTCCCCCCAAAAAAAAATTATATTACAGATAGTCCTTGATTTATAACCATTCATTGAGCAAGCAGTCAATGTTTAAAAAGGCCCTGAAAAAAGTGATTTATGACCAGCCCTTCTACTTATGACTATCCCAGCATTCCCACAATCATGTATTTAACCTAACCCTATCTGAAACCTACCCAGCCAGCTTCCAACAAGCAAAATCCATATGGGAAGTGAGATTCATTTAATGATTGCATGATTGACTTAACCAACTGCAGTCAGTCTCTTAACCAACATGGCAAAAAATAATAACAATTCATAAAAACTGTTCTTGTGTCTAGTTGTTCTGGTGTGCAGTGCTCTAGCATCTGCACACCAGAACAACTAGACACAAGGACAGTTTTTTCCCAAATGCCATCACTCTGCTAAGCAAATAATTCCCTCAACACTGTCCAACCATTTACAAAGTCTGTACTATCACTATTAACTTTCTCATCACTCCTTATCACCCATCCCCTCCCACTTGTGACTGTATGACTGTAACTTTGTCGCTTGTATCCTTATGATTTTTATTGACTGTTTCCTAGTATGATTTGCTTATTGTATCCTATGACTATTATTAAGCATTGTACCTGATGATTCGTGACTCTTGATGAATTTATCTTTTCTTTTACATACACTGAAAGCAATTGCACCAAAGCAATTCCTTGTGTGTCCAATCACACTTGGCCAATAAAAGAATTCTGTCGTGCCCCTGTTAGAATTTGACTCCGAGGGAGAGGAGGAACAGCCAACAGGGAATGGGAGTGTGGCTTCGGAGGTTGTGGAAGAAACTGAAGAAGGGCACAGGCCAGCTGGGCATTCAGAGGAAGACCCAGGCCCATCCCCTCTTCATCCCAGGGCACGCAGGGAGGAGTGGATAAGGGAGAAATGTGAATAGCGTGGTCTACGGGGGAGGAAGGGGCCCTGATCCCCTTCATGGGCTGCAGCTGTGAGGACTGTTTAAAATGACAAACTGTGCATGGTCCAGTACTGGAAGCAAAGCGTGAAATAATTCTAGTCTTTCAGTTCTTATCTGAGTCTAGCGTCCTTCCTAGTGTGTATATTTCGATATCTGTGGACGTCTTCAAGCCCTTATCTTGCCTTGTCTCATTAATTGCTTCAGTGTGGTGTTTTTTTTTCTATCTATAATTTATATGTATTTTGGGTTTGAACGGAAGTTCTTCCTTTTCCGCAACTGTTTGTGGGGGAGTTTTTTCTCCAGTCAATGATAATTGGACCTTTGAAGCCAAGTTGAAGGAACTAAAGGGACTTCACTGGTTTTTGTGACTTTGTTGTTTTTGTATCCCACACTGGGTCATCACAAATTCTATTCTATTCTATAAAATCGGGCACTTAACAACCCCCTTGCTGAGAACCAGAAATACCCTGTTACAATCATAAATTGTGGTTTACTTGTATTTGGGAATGAAAGGAAGGGCCCCACTTATTCAAGATAGTTTACCTGCAAATGTCAGAGGAAAAGAAACGCAGCTCTTCATTCTTATTCACAAAAGGGTGGAACGAAGCTGCATCTGTGAGTTACAATCAGAATATCTTGTGAATCGCAAGCCTCACAGCGCGTACAAAAAAAAAATCCTGCATCTGGATGCAAAGCATGACTTTACAGCTGAGCCTCATTCCCTGTTCATCCAACTCAGCTGCTCAACTCTAACTGTTGGGGTTATCAGAGGCCAAGGCAGGCCTTCCACAACTAAAGAAATAAAGAATATCTTCTCCTTTTCGAGAACATGCAGCAACATGCAGCAATAACATTTTTCTGGAGTTTACCGACGTAGGACCTCAAGGGAAATTGGGACTTACAACCTGGAAAGCTGTTTATTGAACAATAGGTGCCCAAAAATAGAATAGAACAGAACAGAACAGAATAGAAATATGGAAGAGAAGAGAGAGGAGTAGAACAGAAAATAGAATAGAATAGAATATAGAATATAGAATAGGAATAGGAATAGGAATAGGAATAGGAATAGGAGTAGGAATAGGAATAGGAATAGGAATAGAATAGGACAAAAAATTTAATGGAATGGAATGGAATGGAATGGAATGGAATGGAATAGAATAGAATAGAATAGAATAGAATAGAATAGAATAGAATAGAATAGAATAGAATA